TTTTAAACTAATCACTGTTGTTGTGTTGTTTTTCTTTTGGAAACAGTTAAAAAGCAGGAAGTACTGTGATCCTGAAAATGTTCCACATGTTGCTCATGTAATCAGATGCTGTCTTAATGTATCTGAAGGAAAATGGAGCTGAAATGAATACTACAAAGACAAAGAGGAGTGTCATATGTGGGGTTATAAGGTATGTAGTAGCTCAGAGCATTTAAGTCACTTGCCACGTTAATAGCTTTTGGATCCACATCCTACATTTTTCTTGCATTTTATGTTTTCCTACCTGAGGTGCACTTATTATGTTTGTGTACGTTTATGTACCAAAAACTTGGTACAGGTTTATATTACCATTTTCCAACCTCTACCTCTCAGAATTAAACTGGCTGTTGGTATTTTTTAAGAGTGATATATGTAAATTTAACCTCTTTTCTGATTGGCTGCCCTCTGTGGAGCTTCACTCAAAAACAGTTCATGCTGAAACTCTTGTTACAGTTTCAGTGTGAATGTCGGGCTGAACTGCTGTATTCTGAATAGGCTGACATAGGGAAATATGTGGGTTTTTGTGACATCACAAAAACTATTTTACCTACAATAGGCTCTTTTTGCAGCCTAGTTTCAGTTACACTAGAGTGAATGGAGCATTTTGAAACTTTAACACTGTGTACTTACTACACCAAACTCTTATTTTCAGAGTTACCACTATTTTATCTTTATCAACAGTAGGGAGAACAGGGTGTATTGAGCCAGTGGGTAAAATGAGCCACCCTTTGTATTTAGGACACCAGACACAGAAATAACCATGTGATCACAGATTCAGGAAGAAAAGTTCATTTCACATGAATTCTGATTTGAGACGAGCAGATGAACAGAGCGCTGAGCTAATCACAGCCAGAAATGTGATTTTTATTAGAAATTATAAATGTTAAGATGTTCTCAGTCTTGAATGTTAAAAGAAACAGAAACAGGTATTTTCTGTGAACCAATGGCTCAACTTACCTCAATTAAAAGGAAATGAATATTCACTGAAATATATTTAAGCAAAATGGATTCATGCGTGTTGTTTTGTAGTGATGTTGCAGAATTTCCATCTTGCCATGAACCCACAAATGTAAAACCAATAGGGGCTGAACTACACTGGAAGCTCTGCTCTCCTCAGATACATTTCCTGCATCTGAGGAGAGCAGACAGTCAGGTGTCAGAAGGGAAATGTATTCATTTTGCTGCAAAGGAGGAAAAAATAGATAGAATAAGATATTCTATAGAATAACGATATTTTGAGAAACTTGATCAAGGTGAAATTAACAGTGCAGGTTATTACAGACTAGCAAAAGCCTCATCAGATGTTTGATGATAAGATGGAGTGTGAACTACCACAACCACATCGAGAGACCACCCTGCTGGAAAAAATCATAGAGAGCCATTAAAATGTTCTGTTGGTTCCTGTGGTTCCTGGTGGTGCCCAGTAGTCAGTAATGGTCTTTTGTGTTGTCCGGATGGGTTGATATCACAGTGTAAAGGATTCTAATGGCATAACAGGTTTTCTGGGACTGATACCAGAAGCATTTGATGGTTTCCTAATGGGATCTAAAGGTGTCCTACAGGAAACCAGCGATCTCTAATGGTAACCATTAAGTCAGTTTATTTCATTCATTTTGTAGGCACTTAATTAGAGGATCCTGCCCCCCTAGGACCCCATGTATTCCAAACCTTGCACATTTCCATAAGTGGGATCTCCAACCCCCCCCAAAAAAACATAGTGTTAAAAGTGCTTAAGTAAGTCTGTGTCATGACATGTTTATCTATATGTTACAGCATTTGATAAATGATTGTCTGTAGCTTGTATACTGTTGCTAGGCTTTCCAACTTTCTACCACATATCATGGAAAAACAGATTCTCCTTATTTTTTGGAAATAAAAAAATACTTTTAATGAACTATTTAAACACTCTTTTAAAAGTTTCAAAATGTAGCATCCACTCCACAGTTCATACAATCCATGAAAAGGAAGCTCAAAAAAACAAATTTTGAATATTTAAAATAGTTGTAACTTTTACAAACAAATCATCCATTCAGCCTACATCAGTTTAGCACAGCCCACAAAACCCACTGAGACTCCATTTATAAGACTTTTTCCCAACGTCCCTGAGGATTTCAGTCCAAACTTAACAGCAAACAAGCAAAATAAAAAAGATTCTGTTTCAAAAGGACTCCAGTAAAGTACAAATCTACCAAATATTGTTAAAGTATAAATACACAAACCCTTTCGAGACCTGACTACTACCACACTCTACTGACCACTACCGCACTCTGCAGACTACTACCACACTTTGCTGACTACTACTGCATTCTACTGAACACTACCGCACTCCACTGACTACTACTGCACTTTACTGACCATTACCGCACTCTACTGACTACTACCGCACTCTACTACTACCATACTCTACTGACTACCACTGCACTCTACTGTCTATTACCCCACTCTACTGACTACTACCCCATTCTACTGACTACTACCACACTTTACTGACCACTACCGCACTCTACTGACTACTACCGCATCCTACTACTACCATACTCTACTGACTACCACTGCACTCTACTGTCTACTACCGCACTCTACTGACCAATACTGCACTCTACTGTCTATTACCCCACTCTACTGACTACTACCCCATTCTACTGACTGCTACCGCACTTTACTGACCACTACCGCACTCTACTGACTACTACTGCACTCTACTACTACCATACTCTACTGACTACCACTGCACTCTACTGTCTATTATCCCACTCTACTGTCTATTACCCCATTCTACTGACCACTACCACACTCTACTGAGCACTACCGTACTCTACTGTCTACTATCGCACTCTACTGACCACTACCAAACTCTGCTGACTACTAAACTTAACAGTTTCTTCAACATTCCAGCCCAGACTGCTTTGTGAACAAGACACACTACAGGGCAGCCAATCAGAACATTTACATTTATCAGTCTTAAAGGCACAGTAACACAAAAAAATCTAAGAGATAAGAGGTTGGAAAATGATCATACAAAAAGAGTTGACTGCTTTTGTGACAGTTACTGTCATACAGACATACATTTCCTACATTTATGTTAACATACATTTCACTGAAACATACAATTCCAGACACCCTGTCAGCTACAGTTGAGCATTTCTGCAAGAACAAATAACAGATAGACAGATTAGCAGACAGACAGACAGACATATAGGAACATGTGCACTCTGCAACATATGTACACCATAATTCAATCTCTGAGACCAGAAATAGAGGCACAATAAAGAATTATAATAAAAAAGATAATTAATAAACCTTGTCTTATTTCTTTTCATCTTTGAGACTGTAAAAAAAGTTAAATACAACAGTTCAATACAGCACAGCTACTCGTACAGTTAGTAGATCCAGAGGTAAAAAGAGTTGCTGGCTTCAACAGTGTTTTTGTGTTCACTGATGGTTTGAAGTAGCGAGTAAACATGCATGTGTGGCAAATAATAGATATATTATAATATATATACATACATATATATATATATATATATATATATATATTATTGAACTTCTAGGCTAATGGGGCTAACAAACACTGAAAGTAAATAATTAAATAAATCCGTTTTCACAAATACATGTCAAAATCTTCATACCCTTACTTTAAATCATGACAATAAGCTTTTAAATCCATTTAGGAAAAAATAATGGTAACATCATGAACACGCCTTATTTACATGTTTAAGCTAAAAGTGGAGCTACACTTTGTAGCATTTGGTAACATCTTATCCAGAGCACTTTTTCATACTGATGCAGACACATGCAAACTGATCCACAAACTAGCAAGAGAGACATTCAGTAAAGTTACTGTGCGATATCTCTATGTATGTGGTGTGGTGAGGTCGCCAGTGGGGTATTCTAAAATCTACAACACTAGCAACATTATTATGGATGACAACTCAAGGAAGTAAATCCACACTGCAAAACATTTCTTAGCAAGTGTATTTATCTTAAACCTAGTCAATATATCATATATAATACATATAATATTTCTCATTGTGGGATTGTTGTAAGCTTAACACAAAATTATTTAACATATAGATTGAACATATTGATTCATGTATTGATTTTCTGACTCTCTAAGCTTCTATGTTACATGTGTCTGTGTTGTGACTTCCTGCCCTGTCTTTGGTCATCTTGTGTGGAAAGATACAAAACTCTGTTCAGGAAATAAAAGATGCTGGTTGTCTGAAATGGCTGCCCCTTCTTTTAGCTACACCGAGAAGTTTTTCCATTTTTTTATAGTTCATAGTAAATCATATCATCTGTTCTAAGCCACATCAATTTGTCTGCGCCACCTTAAGACCTTAATGCATGTATTTGTGGAAGCGGTTTGGGAGAATATTTACTTCTAGTGCTTGTTAGTAGAGTTAGCCTCGTAGCTCCAGTTCAAAACTAAACAAGCAGAAAAATTGAGGCCAAACATGTCTTGGCTGATCTACTCCATTTGGAGTAAGTGGATTATGTACAATTGGTTCGTCAAACTATTCCTTTAAGTGGTGGAATGGTTTGGGTGTTTCCACATGGATCAAGAATGCTACCTCGTTAGGTGGACCAGTGTGACCAGTAAGTGACCAGTGAGTGAATCTTACAGCATTGTGTGTTTATAGAATGCCATGACATTTCAGCATGTTTTATAATAACTAAATTCTGTACAATTGCCTCCTCATCTCTACGTGCAAAATATGGATGAGTCTGAATATGTAGATGCCTCTGGCTTAGTTTCCTGTTACACTAAAAAGATTTAAATTATTGTGACAAAATGTAAGCGTGAACACTATCATACTTAATAACTTCATGGAATCTGTGTCAAATCAGGCCATATTCCACATGGCCATCATAGCTGAGAGAGTTATGATGCCAAAATAAAAACCTTCTTTCTAACAGTTTACAGCCCCAAATGGGAAACTGTCCCTTCTAAAGGTCCACTAAGCCCTGCTGGCTCCAGCCTCCAGTTCGTCCACTAAGAAACATTGTTTCTTTTTAAGAACTTTATAGAATTCTGCTTTCACAGCTGTTCCTCCCGAGTCAAGAGCTCCATACAGGATCCTCATTTGTTTCTGAGATGGTGTTGCAGCTTGTATGGTGCTGTACATTTCAGCAGTGATCATGTTTTTACTAAGTAAACAGTCCACTATCTCCATCACTGAGGAAACTCTCTGAACGAGCTCTTTTCTGTGTTCATCCACAAATTCAGCTCCTGAAATAAAGATTAAAATATAATTAAAATGATCATTAAAGTATTTTTAAGCATACCAGTGTCCAATTCAGTGTCTTCCTTAAACTTTTAGCTTAACCACAATTATATCACCATTACAACACTGCCCTGCAAAAGAAGATCTATTCTGTTATTCAAATGTGTTAAAAGGTGCACTGAACATTCCCAACTGAGAAGACATGAGCCTTACTGATTGTTTTGTTATCCCCAAATTTTTAGCCATTAGAATTACATGGTGACATGACTTTCATTTTGCCATTTTGAGATTTATTATAGGTCTGAGTTACTCAAATCAGGGGTTTATGACCACAACTGAATTTTTAAGTTAGCTCAAAGAAACACTGTCATTTTACAAGCAACCACCCCATGAACAGTCCTTACTTATTACATGTTTAATTCAGGATAACTGTGAAGTGTAGATGTTCTTGGTACTGATGGGCAGGAAACAAATTCTCAGTAGTGCATTAAATAAGAACATCATACCTGCTTCTATTGTAAATGGGCTTGTCTTTGTAGTGTTACCTGAAATAAGGAGACAGAAACAAAGCCCTGGTGAACACCTGAGATACTGTGACTTTTGGAAAATCTTTTCAAAGAACTGTACATGAGCTCCTCCAAAAGCTGTTTTGTCTGGCTGTACTGTATACTGTATATGCAGCAAACAGACCGAGAACCAGAGGCTTAGCCACGGGCTGTCCAGTGGTGGCCAGTGCTACCCTAGAATAAAACATGGTCACCCTCCTGGCCAACTCAATTATGAAAAGTGTGATCAGTCATCATCATTAAAGGACCAATTATGCTTTATGGTACAAATCTGCCATCCAAGAACAGGTGAGTGAATGTGGGCTTTGATCCTTCAGAAGTGCTGCTCTGGAAGCTACTTTATGAAGTAGGCTATGCAATGGTAAGATGAGTTAACTATCAAATATCGATCAGCTATATTTGTTTAAGTAAGATGTATCTTTCGATCCTCTCTGAATCTGCTGAAATTTTGCGCAGTGCATCGAGGCAGGTGTGTGGTCACTGTCCTGCAGAAACTTGCAAAACTCCTTCTGTCTGCACATGTAACGTTACATGCTAACTAGATTTAGTCTGTTTGGCATCACACAGCATTTTCAGGCATTTTCAGAATGCAACTCACACATGACATCCTGATAAGTGCTTAAAATTCACAGTATGATTCCATGGAAACAGACCATCTGTCACTGAAGCCGTTTTGTAGGCTTCTTTAAATGTGGTCTTTCTGTTTGTGAGAGGCTGAAGGATGCAGCTGGTGTATCCTTCAAGACCTTCAGTCTCCTACAGTCCTTTATGTATAGCAAGTGGTGAGAAGCTGCAGCACAGAAGTTTGTACTGAAATCAGTTAATGTTTTTACATAAGATTTAAACTTGTTGCGTTGCTTAAATCAGTAAGCTGTGACGTGTCAGCCTGTTCAGATTGTCTCAAATGTGTGTGAGTGCACACAGAAGAGGTGCCTTCGTATACCAGTGCTAGGAAGGCCCTCCTACTTTGACTGCACAAAACATGGCCATAGAATGAGAGATGCTCCCTTCTTTCAAAGAGCAAATAGAAAATGGCCAGAAATTGTCAATAATTTATTAATGTATACATTTATTAATTGCAAAAAAGAAGGCTCATCTGTGTAGCTCGTCATGGGTGCTCTGCTTTAGCTCACCAGGTTTTTCAGTTGTTAGAAGAACCTGATGTGGTTCCCACGCCTCCATGCCATCTTCATCTAAAAGACTCACTGTAACCTCCTGAGCCGGAAGAAACACCACAAAAGTGGGGTGATAGTTTGGGCCATAGTCACGCTCAAATGTGGCAACCTAGGAACCCAAAACAGCATCATGATAAAATGTCCTGAAAACATGTAAACTTTACGGAGCTTTCTGCTTCAGTGTGATCACACAGGCTGTACTTTACCTTTGGTTCAGAAACATAGGGGTCGCAGAATGGTCTGTATCTACTTCCAGGGATGAGTTGGCATATGGAGCTGGTCTCAAAGTATGTGCTACCCTTTTGCTTCCCCTCCACCTTTGGTCACATGAAAGAAAGGTGAGAGATGTGTGATTATATGAGCCAGATATGAAAGTCATTTGTACATTAGGGGGCAGATTTACTAACATTGTCATAAACCTTAGTTTGGTGTTAAAAATGACTGTTGCAATTTACCATAGAAGATAAACAGCTCTTTAGCATCAATAAGGAGGTTGAAGGGACGTTGCTATTTTGCACTTTTGACTTTTCTTCTCAAAGCACAAAAAGTATTGCAATTAACCACTTAGGCCAATTTACCAATTCTCTTCTCATTTGATAACTGTGCATGCTATTTAATATCTGTGAATAGCTTGTCTTATAGTAAATGCCCCTGCTGTTGGCATACTTGTCCAACAAACTGTCATTTGAGGACAAAATAAGTCTCCTGAAGGCAGCAGTATGTTACATTTTGGATTATGTTTGACCTCTCAAAATCTTTAATTATCATGATTAAAAAACAACCATTTTCTTGATTTTTGTACTTGTCTATTAGAAATAATCTAAGATCTACTTTAATCTACTTTCTTGAAGAGTAAAAGACTGTTTATCTGACATTAATCTGTCTAAATCAAAATTCTGAGAAAAATAAATATAAAAATATAAAAGTCAAAGTCTGGTCCAACAAACATACCTACCTTGCATAAAGGGGCTTTCATTCAAAAAGTATGTGAGCAAAATAAGGTTACATCACACTAGTTATGAATATGTTATGAAGTTGCTCCAGTTCATTTGCATGAAAGGGCTTAGTTGATCACCTGCTAAGTTGACCTCCCCCATGAGTGCAAACTGTCTGTAGACCCCTGATAATTACTGACTGTTTTGTAAACCTGCCCCTAGTTTTAAAAAGGGCTGCAGGGTAATATTGTGGTATTCATGAAGACAATGATAGAATAAAGTGACAATAACACCTCACCTCTTTAACCGGAACATTCCCTGGCAGTAAATGAATGTTTAGTTTTTTCCTCTTTTGCTTGTCCATCATTTCTTTATAGAAGAGCAAGACTTGGGCGTTTATGGGACTGAAATATAATATCATTTTCTTTAGAAGGCCAAAGAGGGAAAGGCCTTGGATGCTAATAGTAACATGTGTGTTGGTCACGTTCAGTGGCTGTATGATCTCCGTATTATCACCAGTGGAATGTGCCACAACAAGCTGGTTTTCCTCTGTAAAAAAAAAGAAAAGAGTTTATTCACAGACAATGAATAGTCTAGTGTGCTGTTACAATTTATGGCTCAACTGATTTGAGATCTGCGTGACTGAAGTTCTCAACAACATCAGAAAAGCTGTCAGGGTGAGTGGTTTGCAGTCTGTTGGGGGCCTCATAGATTTTTTCTAGCACCTCACTGGAATTTGAGCTTGGAGAAATATACATAGTTAAAATTTAAATGATCGTCTGGTTTACATTTCACTGATTTTGCAAACCACCTCTGATGGAACAAACTTAAATACGACAACCAGTGGCATGCAAAAGTTTGGGCACCCCGGCCAAAATTTCTGTACCTGTGAATGACTAAGTAAGTGATGACCTGAATTTCAAAAGGTGTAAAGCTAAAATTTTAAGTTTAAGGCAGAAAGTTTAGTGTTTTAAGGGAGATTACTTTATTATTTCCATCTTTTACAGTTTCAAAATAACAAAAAAGGAAAAGGGCCCAAAGCAAAGGTTTGGGCACCCTGCATCGTCAGTATTCAGTAAAAAGTAACAAGTACTTTGTAGCCAGTTAAGAGTTTTTCTTTTGTGGGGTATTTTCACCCATTTTTTCCTTGTAAAAGGCTTCTAGTTCTATGAGATTCTTGGGCCACCTTGCACGTGCTGCTCTTTTGAGGTCTATCCACAGGTTTTTGATTCTGTAAGCAGAAAGTGTTTGGATATTTTTTATAGTATTCTCTTGCTTTGTAAGAATCAATAGTAGTTTATATAAACCTGCCCAAAATTAAGCACACATCACATTTTGTGTTTTATTTTTTCCAACATGTTTAATTTGGCAATTAAGTAGTACTTCAGAAAATTTCCAGTAATATGTCATGTTGAAGTTTGTTCCATTAGAGGTGGTGTTAACTTCTTTTCATTTGCAAAATGTGTGATTTGACCAGGGGTGTCGAACCTTCAGTTACACGCATTTTACACAGTTAACCCCTTACCAAGCCAAAGTTTTATTACACACTTCTATACCCAAGAAAAGCCCCATTGGTTTGCATTGAAGTCCCTGTAGTTAATGAATAATAAGCCTTAGTATGTAATAAGCATGGTATGTTAAGGGATTAAACTATTAAATGACTGCAGCTTGCACTGTTGACCCTCGATATAACTTACTGTCTGCCTCATACTTTCTTGTTGTATAAATGGATCACAGTCTTGTAGTTTGTGCAGGGCCTTCAGCCAAGTTATCTGTCTTGCACCACAATGTCTTGTCTAATCGCACTATATATAGTCTACGTCTTTTCTTTGTGATCCTGTAAACACAGGCCTTTTGTGTATGCTGCACTAATGCCTTGGAGCAGGGGTGTCCAAAGTCCGGCCCCAGGGCCAAATGCGGCCCGCGGACAGATTTTAATCGGCCCTTGTCTTCCGTTTAAGGGTGTGTTATAAGTGGCCCTCCAGTCAGTACGCTGCAGTGCTTCCTCTCACCTGATGGTGGCAGCAGAGCTGTAAGATGACAGCTGCACTGCACTGCAGTAATGAAGTTAGCTAAAGTTTCAGAGCCTTTCTTCTCTGACTAGACCAGCAGCTTCATTTACTGACCCACATTTAGTCCAGACTGCAGCCATAAATCTCAAAGTAACACTGAGAACCGCAGATTTTGATGGAAATTTGAACTTTTTCATCGAGAGTCGCAGCAAATATGAGCCTCATATTTCAAAAGACTGTGAGACTGAATTTAATATGAACAGACATGAAACACAGCATGAACATTAAGTAAAGTAAATATTCAGGAGAGAAACTAAAGCAGCTGCAGCTCCCCGAGTCTCATAGCACCGACTTGCTCTTATCAGAGGTCGCTGTGTTTATTTGATACGTAGAGAACATGATCTAACACAACTAAAAATGTACAGATTTTTATTTAGTTTGTCTTAAATTATATTTTGAACAAGTAAATTAAAATACATTAATCCCCTTTTGTTGGTACTCTGAATAAACAAATCAATAATTAGTTATAAGCGCTTATCATTCCAAATTACTCTGAATGAGCAATCCAACAGTAAAAGAAGCCTCGTGCATCTTGTACACAGTGATAGGAAACATGGCAGCTCACAGAAAGCTCAGATGTGTTTCTTTGACCAGCATGAATACGGATGCACCGTAACTCCTCCAGCAGCAGATTTATATGTGTTACATGGATCACCAGCAAGATGCAGGGTTTGATTTATATTGTTATATTTTTCATTTTTTGAAAACTTAATATTTATTATTATTTGTGAACAATATTTTGTCCCTTGGGTATTTTGACACTGTCCAATCTGGCCCCCTTTGGAAAAAGTTTGGACATCCCTGCCTTGGAGGAATGTTGTTTCGTTCCACTGTACATGGTTCCATAGGATGTGTCTGAGATGATGAAGTTTTTCTTGATCTTAATCTAAAGAATTAGACTACTTTCATGAGGTTGCAGAATTACAACACATGCAAGTTTCCAACAGGCAAATGACAGAAAAGATCAAAGCACTGGAGTAACATTAGCATTAATTGATAATCACTGGTGTAATAATTGTAATTGTATTTAACTAGAATGTCTGCAATAATCAGCATTGGTCAAAATGAAATTTACCATATTGTATCTCACAGTGTGGGAGGTGAAGATGACTCAGTGAACCTTCAAAGCAGTCAATACTGTACAGAGGTCCAGCAGGCTGCACCTGGCCTAAACCATCCAACAAACGGGTATCCCAAGAGTCTATTCTGTACTGCACTTCCCCTTTCCCCTCCATCTCAAACACAAGGTTGGTGATTCTGCATCGAAACTGACCAGCATGAGGGCACAGAAACCTAAAATTAAGAGAAAATATTGAGACAAAAATTTAAAAATGCATGTTTCTCAACCTGACTGTGTATTTTTTGTTATGATAATGTCATAATTTGAAAATGCATGGTACCTGTACAAATTATAGTTCTCAGTCTCTGAATTGTTTTCAACCATTTCAGGAATGAATCTTTCAGCAGCCTTGAACTGTAGAAGTGCAGAACAAACAGAATTACGTTAGAAAGTACAGCAAAATATCTTAAAAGAAGTGTGCTGTGCTGTGCTGATCAGACACAGCAGTGCTGCTGGAGTTTTTAAACACCTCAATGTCACTTCTGGACTGAGAATAGTCCTTTAACCCAAAATATCCAGTCAACAGCATCCTGTGAGCAGCATCCTGTGACCACTGCTGAAGGACTAAAGGATGATTAGCTCATACTGTACAGCAAGAGATGACCTATCGTCTCTGGCTTTACATCTACAGGGTGGACCAACAATGCAGGTGCATCTAATAGAGTAGACAGTGAGTGGATACAGTGTTTAAAAACTCCAGCAGCACTGCTGTGTCTGATCCACTCAGACCAGCGCAACACACACTAACACACCACCACCATGTCAGTGTTACTGCAGTGCTGAGAATGATCCACCACCCAAATAGCACCTGCTCTGTGAGGAGTAGTAAGTGGAGCTGATAAAATGGACAATGAGCATAGAAACAAGGAGGTGGTCATAATGTTATGCCTGATCGGTGTATATACACACACACTATGTGGCAAAAAGTATATGGACACCCCTCCTATTAATATCCATAGGCAAACACTGGCAGTAGAGTGGATCGTACTGAAGAACTCCGTGATTTTAAATGTGACACCTTTGCAACAAGTCAGTTTGTAAAATTTCTGCTCTGCTAGATCTGCCCAGATCAACTGTAAGTGCTGTTACTGTGAAATGGAATGGTAGACCACGGTAGACCATGCAAACTCAAGGCTGCCAAGTGATGAAGCGTGTAAAAATCACCCATCCTCTGGGCATCTCGCACTATTCCACTAGTTCCTGTAGATTTGTTTAGGTGACTGAACACCTGAGGAGAACACACTAAACAACTTGGGATCACACATTATTCAACCATTAAGCTGTTGCTGAACCGAACTGAACTCATACAGACTCACACGAACTTACACATTTACCCGTTAATAGTAGACGTAAATAAATGTGGAGCTGCTTGCTGCTTCTGCTGTTTTCTCTGCACACTAAAGAAGCAGCAGGTAAACATATCTAGGTGATGGTTGTGGATGTAGAAATTTTAAAGTTTTAGATCTATATGCACTCGATTGTGCTTGTGCCTTCAATCTGGCTTATTAAAAAGCTTTGCTACACACATGAATGTCCTTTAGCCATTTTTTCTTTTTTAACTTGCTGTATTTTCTTCTTTCTCGCTCTCAGTTCTCATTGGCTGTTAGAGGAGTCCATTCAGATTGAGTCGCACACACACTGTGGTATTAGCAAAGAAGACGACTCAGGAAAAATAGCGCTTTGAGGTGAATGCTCTTCATTCAGCATAACAGCAAGAGAGAACTGCTGCCAGCACCCAGCACTAACTAAATCGGCTGAGAGAGCAGGCAGGTCCCTTTCAACCATACAACTCTCCCTGATGGTAGGCGTTAACACTGGACCACTGCCCCCAAATTCAGCATGCGCATGCACTATAATGTCCATACAGTACTTTTTATAAATGAAGTCTCTCATCGCCTCTACGGCGCTACCTTTGAGGCTCTGCTCAGTCTGCCCATGCCTGAATGAGCCTAGAATGGGATGCTACAATATTTTTTCACAAGCTTCCACCACTAAGTGGTTACATTGTGATCATGTTTAACATGATTGCATACATTGCTTGTCAAACATTTTGGCAGTCAGCTAACAGGTTAATCCAGTAACATTCAGAGTTAGTGTTTAACTTTAATATTTTCTGAAAGATTTGCAGTAAAACTGTATATAAAGTAAATAAATATATTGTGAATGTACACCACCACTGGCACAAACATCGCGACTCTAATAGGGCCACCAACGAAACATAGTGGTTGTATTTTGATAAAAAAAGGCTACTTATAAATAAAACTTGCTATGGTTATATAACAATAAGCATGGCTGATAAATGGTCTTGATTATAATGTAAGAGAAAACAAAGGCACAATGCACATTAAGACAGAAAAAAAGAATTTCAGTAATAAATGAAAACTTCTACGGGATTGTACAAAGTGACACAGCTGAAGGTCCTTGCAACAAAAAAAAAACAATCCCAAAATGTTTAACATTCATAACACTAATTGCATTATATTTGCATTATATAACATTAAATTTCATTTGGAAGTGGCACCAATGCACTCCTATAGTGGTGTGCTGTGCAGATGCTGAGCTAGAATCTCTTACCATGGAATCAGAGGAGCTCACATTGACTCGAGGAAATGCCTGTTCTGTAAAAGAACAAACATAAAAAAGCACTGAATATTTAAAATTAAAATTAATTCTATATAACAATCATAACTGTAAATATGTATACAGGTGAATCACACAGTGCCTACAAATGACAGTATATTAATATCCTATTATAATGCAGACTGGCATACAGTTAAAAAAACAACATATAACTTAACAGCATAATAATAATATATATTAATAATAACAGACAAAAAACATTAACTCATGATTGCAAATACACAGGAGTTTGAATGAAACAGTGACTAAAAAAATGAACGAATGGATGCAGGGTTAAGGATCGGGCAGGCAGCCCAAGATCCCACTTGGCAGGCAAACATTTTGTCACAAAACAACAAAGATTATTGTTATTATTATCGTTATTAATGAAACTTAAAATACTACAATGTGAAGGGAAAACATAACTGATAAACAATTATTAAAATGTCATTCCAGGGGAGAGACTGTTTGAACATGTCAGTGATGAGTAGTGCAGGAGATCAGAGGAAACAACAGATCATGCTCACTAGCCACCCAGAACAATAGGAAAAGCATTTGGACTGCACCGGACAACTAAAACCAACATTAGAGCTCATAAACTAGAGATCTAATAGGCTAATACAGACAGTTAGGAACAGTACGTCTCACAGCCTCTCACTACTGCTGACATATCACTGTGGCTTTGACAGGAAAGAACCATTTGACTGAGATGAAAAAGGCTAACCATACATCAAGGTTTCTGTGTGAGATGCAGGCACATTATCTTAATCTCTCCAGATGTGCTGCTACTGCCTGCTACTGGTGACACTCTAGTGTTCAGCATCATAAACAAGACTGTTTCCTGTAGGACTGACAAAAGTGCTGCACTGAAGCATCTGCTTTCATAAAATGAGTAAAAAGCTTCAGTTCTTTAAACTTGCTTATCCTTTTGATCTTTCATTCAAAAGTAATAAAAACTTTTATCTGAAGTACAATGATTGGAAGAAAAACTAAATCTTATATGTGCTGCAGTTGTTGGCACCCCTTTATTTAATACTTTCTGCAGCCTCCCTTTGCACAGATAACAGCTCAGAGTCTTCTCCTATAATGCTAAATGAGACTCGATAACACATGGCAAGGGATCTGAGACCATTCCCCCCACACAAATCCAGATCCTTCAGATTCTGAAGTCCACGCTTTTGGACGCTACTCTTCAGCTAATCGCACATGGTGTCTGTGGGATTTAGGTCAGCGGACTAGGATGGTGTGGCAGAGCTATTTTCTGCGTCAATATGAAACACAGACGCATACTGATTCAAATAACCTTTATTTATCAATCGACTGAGTGTTTATTAATTAAATTGAGAAATTTTGCCATCAACAGAAGAAAAAGAAAAACGTGTAGGAAAACAAAGAGACTGGTATAAGCATGTACTGTGGACCACCAGTTGGTTAAATTATCAATGTTCAAGGTTTGCTGTGTTAATACAGCTGAATAGTTGAAGTATTTTGTATGGTATTTCCAGCCTAAAATTTTTTGAATGGAACACATGCTAGCTAAGCTGAACCATACTACAGGGAAATGTACTTATCTGTATATTTTTCTGAGAAAGGCTAACATGTCGTCCTTCAGTGGAGAAAACAATGGTCTGTGTTTTGTGTGGCTTTCTAGATGATTTTCCTACACAAAACTGGAAGTGCCATCATACCAGTTCCTGTTTAGCCCGGTAAAAGCCTCACTGTAAGCTATGTTAACCAGTCTGGCAAAAACAGTGATGAAGTACTGTTTAGAGTGGTTGGAAGTGGTTGGAGTCTAAAGTGCTCATATTTGTTTAATTATATTTCTTATATTATTATAGTAATTATAATTTGTAAATATTGACTTTTTAATTTGGACTGTTAATTTGGCACATTTAGCTCTTAGACCATTGAAGTTGAATAAACACTTTGTTTCTGCACTTCCACCTGGAGTGCACACACGTGTCTTTTCCATGCCAGACTATCACAGATGGCCATAGCAAAACTTTGCTTCTGTGGTCAGTGAACCATTTTTGTGTTGATTTTGAGATGTGCTAGAAGATTCAAGCAAGGCCCAGTTTAAATTTCCATACGTCCTCCCCAGCAGATTCTTAACACCTCAAGTAGCTTTAAAATTCTTATTGCCCTGATAGTGGAAACAGGCATTTTCAACTGTTTAGCTATTTTCTTGTAGCCATTTCCTGATTTGTGCATCTCAACAACTTTTTGTTGCACATCACTGCTGTATTTCTCATAGTGAGGGATTACTGAGAGAATTTGGCCAGTGTTGCCTCATCATTATACCCCAGTGAATGAGAAAGTCATGGCTGACCACCTAAGGGTTCCTAATCACTCAAGTGAACTTTAAAACCTAAAATATGAATAGAAATATGCCTCCGTTAGATTTCGCTCTTAAGAATTTCTAGGAGTGTCAACAATTTTGGTATATAAATATTTTTCTCAACTCTGTATTTCATGGTAAGATTTAGGTTTTTTTTCTTTGTCATCATTGTATTTCAAATAAAGGTTAGATTTTTTCATATTTTGAAAGAAAGACCAAAAGGAGTTTTACAGCCCATTAGGGTTGCCAGTACTTGTAGGGTATGTGGACACCCCTCCTAATTATTATGTTCAGCTACACTAGGAGCTACACCTCCTAAAGAGATACTTTCCTGAAGAGTTTAGTTCCTACCTATATCCAGTAAGCTGCGCCAACCCTTACTTAAGTCTAATCCATCTGATCCAGCCAATAAGGGACTTGGGAAGAGGTTGATTGGCTGGATAAGGTGTGACGAATTGATATTGGAACTAGGCTCTGCAGAAAAGCAGCTCTCCAGGTCGAGGGTTGGAGACCACTGAGCTACACGTATTGCGATACAGGTATATAAAATCAAGCAAATAGCCATGCAATCTCCATAGACAAACACTGGCAGTGGAATGGGTCACACTGAAGAGCTCAGTGATGTTAAATGTTATAGGATGCCACCTTCACCAAAAGCCAGGACTGTGAAATTTCTGCCTTGCTAGATCTGCCCCGTCAAATGTATGTGCCATTACTGTGAAATGGAAGCGTTTAGGAGCAACAACAGCTCAACTGAAAAGCAGTAGACTACTCAAACTCACAGAGTGGGGCCACCAGGTGTTGAAATGTAATGCGAAAAAATCACCTGTCCTCTGTTGCATCACTCACTACAGAGTTCCATGGCTGAGCAGCTGCACACAAGCCTAGGATCACTATGTGCAATGCCAGGCTTCTGCTGGAATGATGTAAAACACACCACCACTGGACTCTAGAGTAGTGGAAAAATGTTCTCTGGAGTGATAAATCATGCTTGACTATCTGGCAGTCTGATGGATGAATCTGAGTTTGGTGGATGCCAGAAGAACACTACCTGCTGGAATGCATAGTGCCAACAGTAAAGTTTGGTAGAGGAGGGATAATGCTATGGGGCTGTTTTTCAGGGGTTGACCTAGGCCCCTTAATTCCAGTGAAGGGTAATGTTAATAAGAAATGTGGTCTATGGAGCGATGAATCTCACTTCACCAAGGGGACAGGGGAACACTATCATAGTGAAGACAAATCTTAGTACTACAATATACAGTGACATTCTAGAGAATTGTGTGCTTCCAACTTTGTGGCACAATTTTGGGGAAGAGTGTTTTCTGTCTCAGAATTACAATTCCCTCGTGCACAAAGTGAGGTCCTAAATGAAATGATTTGCTTAGATTGCTGTGAAAGAACTTGACTAGCCTGCACAGAGACCTGACCTCAACCCCATCCAACATCTTATTGATGAACTGGAAGACTGACTGCAAGCCAGGTCTCATCACCCGACATTAAAGCTAACATTTTTTTTTTCTAGGAAGGCAGGATACACCCTGGACAGGTTGCAAGTCCATGTGACAGAACACCAGAGAACCAGAGAACGATCCAGGGGTGGGGCTATAGGGGCACTTGCCCTGGTAAAAAAAAATCATTGCGTTTTCTTTTCTTTTCCGACTTTTACATTACTCACTGATCAGCAGAACAGATTCCTTCATTTTCAGTCTCTCCTCTTTTTTCCATCTTCTGTGACTCTGTGGAAGAGAATAAAACAGTGTGAAGATGTCATGCATGATGTCATATGTATGTTATATGGTGAATAACTGTTTCTCTGCTTAAACCACTGTTGATGTGTCAGTATGAATCACTGAGAGCTGATATTAATAACAGTAGAGACTGATACTGTATTTGGTAACACACTGGATCATAATACAGACACTCAGACAATCACTTGGTCAGTACCCCTCTTGTCACTGGGGTGGTACTCTTAAGGGTACATCTCAGTACCTTTAGTCAGGGAACATAATTGTACCATAATCCGATTTATTTTGTTTTGTTTGTTTGTTTTTTTGGCAGCATACTGCTGTTTTATATTCTATACAAATTGTCCTTAGTCTAGCTGAAGCTCTGTCATTAGCTTAGCAGCAGTTTAGCTATTCAGTTCTGTGGTTTAACCAGATGTGCTACAAAGTTACATCATAATCAGCCAAACTAAAAGAAAAACACTGCATAATAATGAGATATTTTTATATCATATTATATTATATACATTATATTATATTATACTTAATGTTGTACTCTAGAAAACAAAAATACCTATCAATTTGTCATTATATATCCTTAAAATTATGTACTGTTTTTAATATTTAAGAGGAAGTGACAAAACAAAATCACTGCATGTAAAATATCCTAATTTTTCCTAAGGTAAAGGGCAACATTTTAAATATCCCTTAATTTTTACTGGAAGAGGAATCATTATTTTACAATAATAATGTGTTTTCATTAACATTTAAACGTTTCACAAAATTTCAAAATTTTATTTATTGTTTGAACATTTTTTTTTGTATTCATCAATATATTTACATTTACAATTAGCTTTGATCATCAAAGTTTGAAATACTGTGGTAATAGCAAATGGTCAGGCTAGGCTGTTTTATCAGTATTATCTCCTTACTACACGTGCGTAACTCAACTCTGAATACAGCCTTTACAGAACACTGGCCAGTATTAACAATATAACGACTAAAGTTAACACCATGTTTATTCACACAAATGTTTATATCCATAGATTTCTGAACTATCATACAATGACAGTTTATTTAAGAAATGTGTTCTAATAAGAATAATGTACTCACCTGAAGAGTGAAGACTTTACCAACATTAGAAGACTCTGATTAGAGACAAAGCAAGAGCTTTTAAAACACAAAGTACATGAGACAAAAAGTCACACCTGTATTTTCTATAGTTGGATGCTGATGTTGTGTAGAAGCTCAAAAGAACTCCAGATGTTGTGTATTATCTGTAAGTAACTGCAGATGTATTATCTCTAAATATTCTTAACTCCAGTTAATATGCTCATGTTCAGATCACAAATTTCAGTGTGTAGATCAGATGTGTGTGTGTGAGAATGTATGTGAATGAGGTAACGGTGTTATTAAAGTTGTTCAGTCATCTCAGGCTGCTGTGAGCTCTACACTATAGTGATACATACAGAGCTGAAGTGTGTGTTAGTAACTCTTTCTGCTGATGATGTTCAGCTGAACACTCTGAACACACAGTACAGATACATACATTCAGTCTTTACAACAACAACATTCTTCATCAACAATCAACACATCAAAATAAAAGTATTCCACACTGAATTATACTCACTTCCCACAGTTTCGGTCACTGGACGCCACTGTGAAGCGAACAATATAATGTGAAGATTTCATGCATGAATTATAATTGAATTACATTTAAATAAGGAGAAAATGGTACATATTACAACACAGTGAATGTGGATAATGCCGCATTGCTGTTTGGGGGGCTTTCTTTTCTTTATGAGGATCTGATACAGACTGAATGTGTTATGACAAACTTATTATATATGTTTGCAGATATTGCTTGGTATTTGCATTTGTGGATGTAGTGACGAACTGTTTTCATAGACAGTGGTTTTCAGAAGTGTTCCTGAGTCCATGCAGTGATTCCCACTACAGAATCATGTCTGTTTTTAATGCAGTGCTGCCTGAGGGCCCAAAGATCACAGCCAGCAAATACTGGTTTTCGGCCTTGTCCCTTGCATACAGAGATTTCCCCAGATTCTCTGAATCTTTTAATGTTATAATGTACCGTAGATGAAGAAAAGCAAAAGTTCTTGAATTGTTGCACTATTTGCTCATGCAGTCTTTCACAGAGTGGTGAACCCCTCCTCATCTTTACTTCTGAAAGACTCAGCCTCTCTGGGATGCTCTTTTATACCCAATCATGTTACTGACCTGTTGTCAATGAACCACCAGGTGTTTTTTTTTTTCTTTACCAGCCTTTTGTTGCCCCCGTCCCAACTTTTTTGGAATGTTTTGTTGGTATCAAATTCAAAATGGGCATATATTTTTCAACAATAAAATTTCTTATTTTCAACATTTGATATGTTGTCGTTGTACTATTTTCAATAAAATATCGGGTTTAAATGATTTGCACATCATTGCATTTTGTTTTTACTTACATTTGCACAGTGTCCCAACTTTTTTGGAAATGGGGTTGTAATTAAAGTGAAAAATAGCTATAGAAACCTCTATGTTCATTTGAATTAAATACTTTAGACACTGTGTATCAACACTGTGTGCACACTCAACTGGGATACATTTCAGCTGAGAAATCACAATTAAATGAGTAATGGAGAGAAAACAGTCAGAGTTTATTGTGTTTTTACACTATTTTCATAAAACCCTGCCGGACTGCACTGTGATAAGAAAGTCCAAAAAAAAATGTAATAATTGTAATGAAGTCCGTCACATAGAATCAATGCATGAAAACTAGGGCTGTGCCACATGGACATTCGATATAGATATTTGATACAAATCATTCAGTACCAACAGAGGAAGAAGTAAACATAGTTATTTACTTACGCTTTGAGCTGTGGAATAAAAACAGAAAGAAAATCTCCATGAGAGACATTTTTTTACCATTAGAATACCTTTTAAACAGTCTTTATTTTACAACATCTCCTTATTGGAAATCGCTTTTTCTCATCTGTACTGTAGTTTTTTATCCTTCACTACTGCACTGTCACTTAATGCTTTCAATACAACTCCATGAAGATTTTTAGCTAAATGGTTAAAGTGCAAACATACAACAGACACAAAGCTACAAAACCCCCACAATCACTTGAGAGATGTGAAAGTGTGTGAACAAGCAGGTCTTGGGCTTCTATTGTGTAGAAATGTCTTCATCTGTATGAACTGAATGTGTGAGGTTTAGGTAAGTGTTAACAGATGCTCACAGATGTTGGTCACAGTAGTTTAATCTGATCTCTACAACAGCAGCTCTAATAGACTATAGACAGATGTAGAATGTTTACAAGAGCACAACTAAGGATTATTGTTCACATTTATCTTGGCTCGTATTCAGAGTTGGAGTGCTTAACTGGATTTTCTGGCGCATTCAGAATATTGAAATCGCCCACATGCAGTTCAATGCAATGCTGCTTTCAGATCTGGTGTCACTGAGGATTACAGCTCTGCCACACTGTAAAAAAGCGTTAAAAAACAGTAATTTTCTGGCAGCAGGGTTGCCAGATAATGTCTGTAAAAAAAACAGAAAATTACTGTCAGATTAAAAACACAGAAAAACTGTGAAAAAAACAGTAATTATCTTTATAATATTTAACATCTATTACTGTGATTTTACAAGAAATCTTCCTATATTTACATGAATTATTTTACTTTTAACATATTTTAACTGTTAAAATAGTGATATGATAAATAATATTTAAATATAACCATATAAATATTTTTTTAAAGATAATATTCTGTGCTTTAGAGATTTATGCCACTATTTTAACAGTTAAAATACATTAAAAGTAAAATAATTCATGTAAATATAGGAAGATGCCTTGTAAAATCACAGTAATAGATGATAAATATTGTAAAGATAATTACTGTTTTTTTCAGTTTTTCTGTGTTTTTAATCTGACAGCAATTTTCTGTTTTTTTTACAGACATTATCTGGCTCCCCTGCTGCCAGAAAATTACCGTTTTTTTAACGCTTACAGTGTAGAACACTACTGTACATACTGCACACATTGTAAATAACCTGTACTTATTTAACTTATTACACTCTATACACTTTTGTTTTATACTATACACTCTGTATACACGTGATCTGTATATTTAACATACAATTGAATACACTACTTTCCTGCACTTCACCTATATTTATATGTATATTTCAACATATAAAAATACATAAATAAAGAGTAAATAGTACCTCAAGCAAATAATATTATAATATACAGTATTTTTTGCTCTTTTTAAAACTAGTTTACATACACTATATGGACAAAAGTATCGGGACACCTCCTAATTACTGAGTTCAGATGTTTTAGCCACACCCATTGCTAACATTGTCTATCAAGATTGCAAGACTAACACTGACAGTAGAATGGGTCATATTGAAGTACTCAGTGACTTTAAACATGGCACTGTCATATGATTCCACCTCTGCCACAAGTCAGTTTGTGAAATTTCTGTCCTGCTAGATCTACGTCTGTCAACTGAAAGTACTATTATTGTAAAATGGAAGCACCTATGAGCAACAACAGCTTATCCACGAAGCGTTAACCGATGCAAACTTCAGCGGAGTGCTGAAGTGCACAGCGCCTATTAGGGGTGGGAATCTCTAGGCACCTCACGATTCGATTCGATTACGATTCAGAGGGCTGCGATGCGATTATAAAACGATTATCGATGCATCTCGATGCATCTTTTTTTTTCTATATATTATTTCTATTTTCTCACTGTGTGAGGACTTGGTAGTTTTAAAGCAAAGTATTTGTAATGATTCATAATGAATTTACTTCCAATATCTTTTATTAATAAATCAAATGGAAGTGATGTGGCAAGTGAACTGGAAGGCTCTCATTCACTGCCTTTGGAGCACATGAGACGCTGCTGCCACTCATCTGAGAAAAAATGCGCAGTTACGGTGAAATGGATGGCAATGAAAAGTGGCAATGGATGTCCACGCAGCGCGTTACAGCCGTCCTACCCGTTTTTAGTGACTTTATAACTTCGGTTTTGGTCTCGTTGTAGAGAGAGGGGGGGGGGTCGCTGTGTCAGTAAAGTATCTTTGAGACGGGATGTGCGCAGCATAGCGCGAAAGCCCTGTTTCGCAACGTCACCTAGCAGCGATGCGTTATTCGCATTTATAAGCAGCGCAGTTGGTTTCCTGGTACGTTAAATCTGCAACGAGAGACTGTCAAACACTAAAAAGTCGCAAAGATGAAGTCAGCTTCTCTTCCGAATTAAAGTAAGTCTGCGCTCTCGTTAATATTGTTTAGCCTATACTAGGACATTAGCACATACTGACACATACTGGACATTAAATGTTTGATTTTTGTTGAAAGTACAAAATGTTAACATTTGTGTTGTGACTCCTTCAGAATCGTTCACGTCTGCATCGTGATGCATCTAAGAATCGATTTTTTCCCGCACCCCTAGTGCCTATCCTCTGTTGAATCACTCATTAACAAGTTCCTGATTGCTTCTGGAAGCAACATCAGCAAAAGAATTGCATGTCAGGAGTTTCACAAAATGGGTTTTTCATGGCCAAGCAGCTACACACAAGCCTAAGATCAAAATGCACAATGCCAAGTTTCGGAAAGAGTGGTGTAAAGCACGCTGCCACTGGAGCAGTGTGAATGTACTCTTTGAAGTGAAAAATCACGCTTCTCTATCTGGCAGTCTGATGGATGAGTCTGAGTTTGGCAAACCTGTCTGACTGCATTATGCCAAGTGTAAAGTTTGGTGGAGGGGGGATAATACTATGGGGTTGTTTTTCAGGGGTTGGCCTTGGTCCCTTAGTTCCAGTGAAGTGAAATCTTAGTGCTTCAGTAAAACAGACATGTAAGCTGGTTCTGCAAACAGATAGGATTCATTATGGGTTCATATAGAATTATCCACTTGCCACGACTCCTAAATTTTCTATCTTAATTATAATTTTAAAAGACACCACGTTTACCAGATAATTCTATGGTCTATAACATCTCTTGATTGGTGAGATGCAAAAAGGTACAAAAAAAATCTAAACTGTGTATCACTATGGTCACAACTCGCTCTGAATCCTGTAATACCCTCATTAGGATTAGGAGTATTGTGCTTGGAGACTGGGCATCAAGGGTCTTAGAGCATTTCTCCAGAATATTTACACGTGGAGCATTGAGCTTATTTGGACTGATCAAACAGGTTTTTGGTATTACTCATAGTAATCATTTTTTGTAAACTAGACACTTTATTCAGTCTTTACAAAAGGATACTAATTTCAGACTTCATCTAACAGAACTTGTGCTGTGAATTCGTCATATTTCTTACACTGTTTAAATTCTTTATGTTGTACATAGTCATTAGTTACGTCTAAATGCCTACACAGTAGGTGAGTCACACATATTGATAAAAAGGTTAAGGGTGAGTTAAGGGGGTTGGAAACTAAATGTTATATGTGTTTATGGGGGTCATTACGAATGAAAAGATGGTTTTGCATGAGCTGGGCGGTGAGCTAATCTACCAAGTGTAAAGCTGGCTAGTTACTATTGAGGATATATATGCATAATCAATGCTACTGCTTTTAACTTCTGATCACTCTAGTAATTCTTGTTGGAAACCTAACAGCAGAGGTGTAAAATTCAGGTCCAGAAAGTAAAAATCCTTCCCAGGATTTTGTTTCAACTGCCTGGACAGCTCTGCTAGTGGTTTGATCTAACTAGAGAAGCCAGGCCATTGGAACAAAATCCTGGGAAGGATTTTTACTTTCTGGACCTGAATTTTACACCTCTGCCTAACAGTTTAGATGTTTCTAACAAAGAGAAAGTATGCTGATTAGATCTCTGCGTAGCAGCAACTATGTTTGTTACTGCTGTTTATTAAGAGTATATACACCAACGTGCCAAAAAAGTATGGCATAGCAGTATGTAAACTGATTATGAAGTGGTGTTACATCAGGGGACAGTTTGGAAACGCCCACACCACAATACCTAATAAGTATATAAGTAAATAAGTGTTCTGTGAAAGTAGGTACTTTTGTGCATGTGTTCTGGTGTTGTGACACAATACAGGGTTAATGGAAAGGGATTCATCTTTCTACACAAATAAAAATTTACTAAAATTTGCATCATTAACTACATTTTGCAGACGCTTGCTGGTAGTTCACTTACATTCATATTTACATAGTGATTCAAGTAGTTAAATTACTTTTTTGCCATTTTTGTGTAGTTAACCACTGAAATTACAATTTTGAGTCATAAAAGGAATGTCTTTTTTTTATTTTAGCATTGTTCATCTACGGTAACTGAACCCCCTTTGACCAGCCCTGGCGCTTTTTCTTTCATCCTGACCGCTGTAAAGGCATGCCAAAGGGCATTTTTTAGTGCCAAATGGAACGCCCTTAGAGAGACTGCTCATGTGTCGAATAAACAACAGATTCTGCCCATTGTTTAGATAGGCCCACTGTGAAGACTGTTCTAGTTGTTAAGGCACTTTTTTCAATAAACTCAATTTGAGTGGCATTTTTGCTGGCATGACTTTTTGTATTAGAATATTTTGTTATAATTTCATATCACATTTACATTGTCAATTTTTACAAAGTAGTTTGAGCGATCTTTCTAAGCAGCTTTAATTAACCCAGCTGTACCTTAGGGTAGCTTTGCTGTTGTTCTACTTCTTACAGTGTGAAGCAATTGGAAGCTTACAAAGCTATGTTTTCAAAGTAGTTTCCCCAGCATTACAATTAACATACAATTTGCTATATGTCCAACTACATATCTTCTAAACTGTAAATACGTAAACTTTAGACAGTAATACTAACTGCCTTTTAAATAATCTAATTTAGTTAAAAATGCATCTTGTTACTATGGTTAAAATCACATGATCCTTCCCCTAAGATGTAGTTAAATTAAAACTGTAAGTTGCAGAAATTAATATACAGTTTATGACATAATCTGGAAAATTACCAAGAATTTGGTCCCTTTTACAATCTTATTTGGAGAATGCCTTTTGATTTCATATTTTTTTTAATAAATGTATTACATTTTTTATGTTTGTGGATTTTTTTTTGCAATATGTATTTTTTGCTACTTATTTTTTGTACATTCTATACCTTTATTTCTTGTCTACTTTAAGAAACCTTATCCGGTATGCCCTGATCATATGTCAGAGTCCCACCCTTTCACCCCCCGCTATTTGCCGGTCTAGAGAAAATGTAATACAAACCCTGGAACCCATGTCTCCATTGATCTCCAACAACTAGACGTCAAATATATCAGCTCTCAAAAAGAACACAGACTTTCTGGAGCTTAATAAAGATGAATCTGTACATTCAGTGTTTTTCTATTTACTGTTTTACTGTTTTATATTGTGTGTGTAGTTAAATTAATAATGTTCAAATATTATTAAACAATAAAGGAGTTGTAGCTTATCCGTGACATACAATATATCAAGCTGTAGTGAGAATGTAGTAATATGAAACTAACTGATTTAAAGTGAAATATTATTCTCAGTATTGTACTTATACACTGTAAAAATAGATTTACATTATGCCTGTAGCTTAAAATGCTGCATGCAGAAATTAACAATTTATAACTGACAGAAATGTAGGAATGATAGATAAAACCTAAATTTTATTGAAATCGTTTTTGTAATATGACTGAAATGTTCAAAAAAATATATGACGCTGTGTTGAGAAACTATTACCATGACACTAACTGATTTAGAGTGAAATACTATTCTTAGTGTTGTATTGATACACTGTAAAATAGGTTGCCAGTTTAACCTAAAAACAAAAATACTTCATAATGTCACAAGCAATTTAACTGCTTTTATTCAACTCTAATAAATACTGTGAATAAAACAATGGTAAGTAAAATTGTATTTCAGACAAACAAAATAATTTTATAATTTAAACCTCAAAAACACTTCAAATCAGCTTCTGCCCAGTTTGACTTTTACAGTGTATCTGGTTCATATAGCTTAGTTCAGTCATTCTGTAAGAATAACTTAGAGTTTAAACTAAGACTTTGGTTGATTTCATTAAATAAATGAAGCTTTTTGCTTGAATGTTTGTTGATGTAAATCTATGATGTGTTCTGTCAGGCTGAAGGTGAGCTGGCTTCAAATAACTCAACTGTAAAACTGCAGTGTTGCTGTGATCTTACAGATGTAGAGAATCTTCACCATCATTAGTTCTACAGGCTGGAGAACACATTCATTTACATTCTTCATCTTACATTATTTAGATGAGATTATCAGAATCTAAGCAACCATTGACCGCTGAATGAGGAGAAGAAAGTTCGGTCGCCAATCACTGTGCACTGCTGACATTTCATGATTTTTAAAAACTTTTTTTTTTTGTATAACAATAAACATATTATAACACAGCACTGTGTAATGCAAAAGCTTTCAGCTTATAAGTACTTTTTGGTCACCAGATTACGACCGTGAGTCTTCCTCTGCCACTCTGACAACTCCACTTTTCTTACGCTGGGGCTCAATCTCAAATGGCTCCCTGTTCCCTACACAGTGCACTAGCTGCATAGGAATTTAAATACTGACTCTTGTCTTTTCATCTTTCATTCTGAGATGAAACGCTGATGATGATGTTGATGTTTATGTAGGTGAACTTCTGGAATACTTACCCTTCGCTACCATTCCTATTCCTAGTGTACACTCCTCTGTTTTGTCTCCATTGGTGACCTGACACAGATAATCTCCAAAATCTGAGCTTCCGAAGTCTCTGATCTGTAAGGAGGCGTTTCCTCTCTGCAGCTCCTGAGTGAACAGACTCACTCTGCCCTCGTAACCCCTCCCCTCTGTCACCTGCCCGTTCTTATAGAGACAAACACAGTCCGTCCCCTTAAACCACCTGATCTCCATGGCAACAGCACTGATTTTAGGAGAAAGGTGACAGGAGAGAGTGACCGCAGAGCGAGACTGATACTCTCTTTGAGGGGGAACAAAGAGTTTAAACTCATCTGTGTAGAAACACACACACGCACGCGCGCACACACACACACACACACACACACACACACACTCATTAATAGTTGTATCTCGTATGTCTCCACAATAAGACTAAACTCTCTGATAGAATATTATTTAATGATGTTCACAGTAAAAACTTTTGTAGGTTCTGGTAGTTTAACTTACTGTTTCTTGCAGTCGCCATCTTTATCTCTTTATCTCCTCCTACACATTCACACTAATACAATACTACAGAGAGAGACAGAGAGAGAGAGGCAGCTAGAAAGAGAGACAGACAAAAAAACAGAGAGAGACAGTGAGAAAGAGAGAGACAGAAAGATAAAGAGAGAGAAAGACAGAAAGAGAGAGAGACAGAAAGAGACATTTATGGGATAGAGAAAGATACAGTGAGAGATTATTCAGACACAGCTTTATTTCCATTTAGAGCTACAAACACATTTACACATAAATACTTTCATAATCATAAGTACATAAGTCCTATAATATACTGGGTGTATTTGTTTTTATAAACAACATTTGATTGTTTACAGTGATCTTTGTCCTGTTTAGCATGCTGCTAACTGCTCTCACCTTTGCTGTTCTTCATATAGTCAAATCGCTGCTGTTGATGAAATATGTCCACATTTTACATCAGTTCATATCAGGTTTTTGTCTTATAACTGCAGTTCCACAATAATAAGACCAAGTTTGAACTCTCTACTAATTTCACACACAACTCTCCACTTTAGCGTCCAGAGCGGAATGAGCAGCAACTACTTTCATTTTCACCTTCACTGCAGTCACTGTGTTTGAGCATCAATGTTGCTGCCAGACTGGTTTAAGGGTGATCTGCCTTAAAACTATGTTATCTTCCATCTAAATCAAACTGTTGTTGCCTGCTACTCAGATCAACTCAAAACACTACTATAAAACCATTACTGCAATGACCAAAGAGCCTATTATTTCAGAACAACCTCTGCATTTTGTTCATACCACTGCAATCTACATACACTATATGGACAAAAGTATTAGGACACCTACACATTACACCTACTGGAGCTTTTATGACATATGATCTATTTTAATATGTAGTTGGTCCGCCCTTTGCAGCTATAACAGCTTCCACTCTTCTGGGAAGCTTTTTACAAGATTGTGGAGTGTGTCTGTGGGAATTATGGCCCATTCATCCAGAAGAGCATTTGTGAGGTCAGACACCGATGTTGGACGGAAGGGGCTGAATCACAATCTCCATTCTAGTCCATCCCAAAGGTTGAGGTCAGGGCTCTGTGTTTGTAAAGGCAGACTGTATGGCTAGGTGCTTGATTTTATAAACCTGTGGCAATGGGACTGAATGAAACAACCAAATTATGCGTCTGTACAGGTGTTTAAGCCAATATTTTTCTCGCAAGGGCTTTGAAAAGAATGTGATCTGGGTTGGATTTTGTAAAATTTACAAATCTTATTACTATCACCTGTGAATTATGTAATGCTTTGTATACCATCAGTCTACAGCAATCTATAACTGTTCTACACTTTATATTTTTTCTAACTGTACTCTTCTGTCCTTTAGAGCAGACTGATAACTTGGCAGATAACTTTGCTAACACTTATCCTGTATAACTCTGCTAACATGAGCTAATCAGCCTTGCTAACAGGCTCCAACTATAGTAAGACATAGGCTTTAAGTTCAAGACTTGACTGAAGTACTCACTGTATAACAAGAGTACAAAATAAATAAAAATGTTACATGGCTGTTATGAGCTTAACAGGTCCACATTTATGCTGCATCTGTCATCAAATATGAACATAATCTCTACTAGCTTGGTTTATAACATTTATTTATAATATAATGGCAAACCTATAGATATATTAACACTTTAACATGGATACAGGACTATTTACATGTCAAATTGCAAGGTTTTTACATGTAACGTTCTGATGTACTAACATATGCAGCTGCAACATTCATGATTTAATGATGTTACTGTATAATGTTAGTGAAATTATTACATTTGTGTGAAAAGACTGGAAAATCCAGTATTTTTCCAATCAGTAGTCAGTTTTAGTGTGCTGCCAGCCTGAGTGTATTAGTTTACTGTATCACAAGAAAACGCCACATCTAATCTTTTTTATAGGAACATAACTACACATCTGTTCCCATTCAAAATGACCCACAATCCAATTTAGTTATTTTTCCTTATTTTCTGTTTTCTGTAAATAGTTTGGGAAAGTCTAGTACAATAGCCACTTGCCTCCTAGAAAAACATCTCTCCATCCAAGAGAGCTAATCTGAAGCCATAGAATGCAAACTGCTCAAGTAACTTGTGATCAATTACATCAAATGCACCACAAATCCTTTTGTTCTTAAATTCTGCTAACAATAATCTGTCATTTGTATCAGGGTAGTGCTTAAGTATGCATATTGAAAATGTATTATCAAAAAGTTAGTATACAGTAAACTTACACTGGTGGAACATCGGGATATCTGCATATTGTGGTGGCTGAAAGAGACATTTGTTGTTTGTTGGTTTAATAAAAGTTTTTCTCCATTGAGATGTCACATTTGGTGTCAGAAGTTGGTTAGCATCTCCAAGTGGCAAGAAATTTAGCTGTGCATCAAAAACTTAAAGATGGATGGCGAAGAAGACCCTGCCCTCACAGGCTTCCACTTGCAAAGAAAGAGGCCGCGCAACAGAAAATAAAGGAGGTGGCGATCAAGAGTCAGTGAGTCATTGAGTAGCCCTTGGGTGGCGTTGGTGGTCCTAGCAAAGGCAAAAGAGGGTAGCTGGCATTTCTGTGTGGACTGCTGCAGCTGGTAGTCTTTGCTCAGCCGCTGGAACCGGAGAAGGACAGTGTGCCCCTAGTGGGGTTTACTGAGGTGCTCCATCACCGTCTCCACTGTAAAGAAATCTGAGTTGCTAGGTTTTTCTACAATGCACAGTTTTATGTCAAAACTAAATCTATATGATTTTTTTTATTATATATCAACATTTGAATTACTCAAGAATTTAGAAAAATCTGTGGAATTCTCCTTTAAAATATAGAAATCTCTCAAACTGAGCTGGATAATGTTTGACTGAAATAAACACTGTTCAACATGAAGGAAACGTCTCTTTGGCATCCTTCATTTTGGAATCATTATGCTAAACAGTGTTCTGAATATTTTCTGTTGATAGTTTTATGAATATAAGGAGGGCAGAATGTTTAACATGTCATCAAGTTTATATTAAATCAAGTTTTGAACACTTTTTCCAATATTGTAAAATGTGTTGGTGTAATCTAAAAATGGTGAGTCAGTGCTGATAGAACCTGGTTAATGCTGCTGTTGTACATTTCAGTGGAGGTGCTGTTATCTGTTAACAGCTAAATTAATTCAGTCATTCTTGTTCAAATCAAAACCTCTTGCATGAAAAGGAAAGAATTTTTAACCCCTTAAATTGCAAGAGCTCGTCTGTGATCTACATTTCTTTTCTACTCACCAACTAACTCCACAACTTATATACTAGCTTCATAGCAGCCTACATACCACATCATTTATAGCAGGTACTGAATAATACACCTTAGATTAATAACTGATAATAAAGCTGCAGTTTAAGAGCCTCAGTGTTTAGAGTGGAGCTGAATCTGACTGCATGTGTTTCAGGTCTGAATGCAGTGAAGAAACAGAGTTTAGTTTTGTGTGGAAGAGGCTGGAATGGATATAGAACAACAAAGTAAAGTCTATTTCGTATTTACACTGCAGGGCATATTTTGAGTCTGACTAATATGGTTGCTGTATTTGTTTATCATTGTTATTCTTCATAAATATGGATTTAAAATGGTACAGTACTAGTAAAATAGTTCAACTGTTATAGAACCTTTACATTCTGTAGAAGTTTTTTTTAAACTTTAAAAGGTTCTTCACACTCAAATAGCATTTACAACAATGGTTCTTCAAAGAACCATCCACTGAAAAGATCTTTAGGCAAAAGTGCTTCTTCTATGGCTCCTCACTTCAAAGAATACTTTTTGGCAGCTTTATTTGTTACAGTGTTTGACTCAATTATAAATATAAGGAGACGCAGCAGACTGAATGCTGCGGAATCAAAAGCTGCAACCCCACATCTGTAAGAGAATTCTTAGGTACTAGAAAGAAGAAAGAATGAAGGAAGTAATGAGAAATAATATTAATTTTGTAGGCATATAAGTTGTGCAGCATCCACTGGCTCTTCAAACACAGTCAGTAAAATTATGAGTGCTGAGTGTCTGTAAACAGACATTTTAAAGTTTATTTAATAGTGGTTAATATGTTGTTGATTCAAAGTTTCTTATTCTCCTGAAATCGCAGCAGAGTTCTAACAGCGCAGATAAAGGAGAGTGAATGATACACTGCACAGTGCAGACATAACAGATCTCTTCAAATTTTCTCCTTATCACTAACAAGAGGTGAAGGACAGGCATAACAAAATACATCTGTTGAATTATTTGTAAACTGTGTAGTAGACTTTTTTCCATAGAACTCTAAAATATAAAAAAATGAAGGTGCATTTACTGCTTTTTAACAGCTTTTTACAACACTAAAAACATTAAAACAGCTGCATGACAGATCAATATGCTGCTGTCCACATTGCATCAATTCATTCACAATTGCAGAGCAAAATTTCGCTGGTTTGGATAAACAGCCTTATTAGATATCCACTGCACAGCTGGGTACTATTAAACCACATTTAAACATTTAAACTCAATTAGATGTAAAAAGCAAATCCATTTCATTTCCAAGAACTACACCCTTCCTTTCCCCTTTCTTCTAAAATTCTCCTCTTACAAAGCCCCTCAGCGTGTCAGGTCTATTCAAAAGTGATCCATTCTTCGCTGAAATAAATATTCAGTCTGTAAAATAGTTAATTCCAAATCAAAATGGTATGTACAGTATGGTACGAAATTGTATAAAAGTGCATATATGTACAGGAGCATGAGCACAAACAAGTCATTTGAATAATTTTCAGTGATTTTATTTGTGCTTGTTCTGCTTATGATTCCATAAAAAAAATCTCACTCTGCTAGATTAAAACTGAGAATGATTAAAACATCCACTTACTTTTTGTACATATATATATATATATATATATATATATATATATATATATATACAAAAATGTGTCCATTTAGCACAGTTTCCTGAAGTCTTTGGTGTTTCCACTTCTAGCAGCTGATGAGTTGCTACTGAGATTAAAGCTGAATATGAAGACCTGAGATGCTTTTGCAACGGCGCTACAAACCCACAATATTCTGCACAATAGCACAATATTCCGCTGGACCTAGCCAGAGCTGTTGAGCTCCATATCACCCAGCTCGCAGAGAATGTTCCCACAACTTTGGCTAACATTACCTACAAGTTCTAACAATGCAATAATATTCTGAAGATGTTTTTAGCTGATTTTCTTTAACCACTGCTTAGATTTAAGAATGAGCGAGTATCTGTCACACAGATTACACATTTACCTGTAATGAGCTGTAGTGCCTTTCAGAGTAAAAGTAGTGTTACTAACATGAGTCAAAGAGAGTTTTAGATCTTCACTTGCGTCTCTCTGTGAGACTTAGCAGCTTCTTGCTTTGGGTTTAAGAACCTCCTAAAGAACTATAGTCATTTCTCTGAATCTCCATCATCCTGCCAGTCTGTTCTCTGTCAGTGCAGAAAGTGTTTCACTGTCCTCAGGTCTCTACTGATCCACCTGTTTTGAAAATATC